GAGGCCAACACTCCCCATCTTTCTGAGACGTGGCACTCTATATGTGTGACACCTGTTCTTAAAAAAAAAAATCACGCGACTTAAAAAAAAACAAATAAGAAAACCGCAGCTAAGGTCTCTTCGCCTTTCTCTTCTCCGTCGATTCCAAGCGTTACTAAACAGGGACCAAGATTTTCGAGTCATCAGGAAAGGGATTTGTTGTTTTGATTGGAATTTGACTATGGTCTTAGGCAATAAGGGTTACAAATTCAATTTCATTGGTAATGACCTTGCCGATGTTGCCTCGGTTGAGTGCTCGTGCTAAATGGTATTATCCTTTTCATGTCTCTGACGATTCACTAGAAATTGTTTTCCATTGTGATCTACCTTCGGTTTCATTCGGTTGGACACTTATGGACGTCTTTGATTCCAATGTTTCTTGCGAATTTGTTGACCTATTTATGCTCTCATCACCATTCTACAATCCTTTTCATCTCTGTTTGAAGCCTACATCTCTATATGTGTGTGAATTTTGCAGGAATCAGTTAAATCAAATTTCCAAATCTTTCAACATCTCTTAAGCAGTTTAGAATAATCAACACTAGAAAACACAACTACTTTTGAAACACAGAGAGGTGAAGAAGATATTGTTGATTGGAAATAAATCATATGTATAGTCACAAGCGGTAACGATTACTATATTCTGCTATTTCCGGTCAATGGTTTACCTATCAAGACCTTGAAAATCTTAAATGCTTTCATATCGCAGCAAAATTTGAAGGTGTTTGAAAGATACCTCAAGGAAAGATACTCGCTTGACACCCACATGTAAACCGGAAGGCAAAGGAGGAAGAGACACCAAAATCGGATCCACTCGGTTTCTTTCTATGTCACTTTCTTCGTTAGTGGCTAAATTTTTTGTTTAATGTTATGCTTGTTCAGTGATGCATTCATATTTTAGCATATTAGCATATATTTTCTTTAGCTTTTGTAGTCATTAGACTTACATTTTTTGCATATTTTTCATCATTTTGAGTCTCATTTCATACTTAGGATCATTTTAGAGTCTAGGATACATTTCTTTGCATTTTGTGCATTTTTGGTTCCTTTTTAGGTACTTTGGAGACATTGGAGTGAGTTGGAGACAAAGCGGCTAGAAGAATTGATCAAATAGGCAAAACACATGCAGGAGAAGTCCAAAGCGGCTGAAAGATCATCTCTGTTGAAGGTCTTACATTGATCGGATTGGTCTGATGTTTCTAGGAGCTAAAAGGAAATTGAGTTAGCTTTCCAATGGAGGCAGTTTCAACTCATTTGGAGCTGTATTGCGAAAGTTATTGAAGATTTAGTGAAGACATGTCCGTCTGGCGAGCAGATGAAGCAAGCGCAGAACTTGCAAGTA